ATAAATATAGTTTAAATATTTTTTATTACCCAACTAAAAATCATGCATAAAAAAATTTAATCGAATAATTTATCGTTAATAATTTATTTTAAGTTATTAACATAATTAACACAATTATCTTTTAATTATCACTATAGTCATTTAAAAAACTCTATTTGTATGAATAATTTTGAACTGACTCTCTCTATTTTTTTTAATCTGCTTGAAAATTATTTTTCTACCTTTATGATCATGTTTAGTTGTATTAAAAAAATAGTGAATGGAATTCATTTTTCGATTAAAGAAAAAAATTAACCTCTTGAAAACAGAATTTTTGTTTCAATTTAAAAGAGGAAAAAACACTTATTGTAAATTATTCAAAAAACTATATGCGGTGTACTCAATTATTATTTTTACAAACATTAAAAAAATGCCATTGGAAAATCATAAATCACTAACTACCACTAGTGTTTGTGTGTGTTGGAACTAATACACGAGGATATATCAATACGTGATATGTAAAAATCATATTAATTTAATGTATATAATATTTTGATTCATTTAATTAATATTGCTAAAAATATGCTATCAAACACACCATATTATATTATACAATAACCATACATATTAGATTGAATTCTATTATAAAAACAAGATAGTATAGAAAGAAAAGTTAATTTTCAGCTGGCTGAAAATGAAGATGCATTGGAGCACAAGAATTGATTAGTCAACAGGTAAGATCAAACTAAGCGCAAAGGGGCGAGGCCTGGAAAATACAATGAACTTGAAGGCAGACGCTGGAGTCATTGGATGACAAGCCTGAGGGCATGCATTTATAGAGAGAATTCGTTCAATCAAGCACCTAAAATATTTTTAAAAATTCTACTGTAAAAAAACCAGACTAAAAACATGTTATTTTTCAACTTACGAAATATAAAAAAAATAGTTCTTAGTTTATTTTTCAAGTACAGCTAAATATATATAAAAAAAATCCATTTTTCATAGAATTTATTTATTTATTAAAAACAACTTCTCAACTAACAAATGGACCTTAATTACTTTTCATATTTTTCCTGCCCTTCTTCTTTACTGGAATAGCATATTGAAAATAATTTGAGAACCTTAACCTCTTTCCTAGAGCAGTTAGGGTTTAAAAATTAGGTTTGCCTTCTAAGTTTCTATTCCATTGTCAGCGAACGTGGATAGTCTCCACTTTCCCTTCGGATTGAAAGCCTAACAACACATCAAAACATATAGGAATTGAAAGTTCAAACCTCACATGGCCTCAATCACGAAAATGAAAAATAGGCTGAGTAGGGGATGCCCCGAGAGAAGGGAAAGGCTCGTGATCAAGGGATCCACAGTTTTTCACGAGATGGTTTTCGAGGAAATTGTTTGGTATAAAGGTGCTTGTTTGAATAAGTGGGTGCTCGATGATACTTTCGAGGCTAAGATCTCTATGTTCATTTTTTTAATTACGTTTATTTTCCCGATAAAGTTATAATTATGTTTGTTTTTATATTATAAAAATTATTTTTATATTTTTTTTAAATTAATATTTTTTTATATTTTTAGATTATTTTGATGTACTAATATTAAAAATAATTTTTAAAAAAATAAAAAAATTATTTTATATATTTTAAAATAAAAATATTTTAAAAAATAATCATAACTACACTTTCAAATAATTTTTTAATTAATTTTTCTAATTAAATGCTACAAATTCAATTTAGTAGAAGAGGAATATTAAGGTTTTCATTGGATATTGATATACCAAGTGTTTGAATTTTTTTTCTTATAATTGATGTTTCGACTTTAATTTTTATTGTTTGGGTTGTTCATTTATTAATAACATTATAATAAGTACTTCGATTAATGTAGCTTAAGAAATTATTAGTTCATCTCTTAAGAGATGACATAGAATCTAAAACTTCGAAGGAATACCAGCATTGAAGTCACTTGTACATCATGTCACCAATTATAAAAGTATTTGTTTGTTTTTGTAGTGAAAAGATATTTTTAAATTATTTTAATGTATTGATGTTAAAAATAAATTTAAAAAATATAAAAAATATATATTATTTTAATATATATTTAAACAATTTTCTTTTTTAAAATAACTATAATTACAATTCCAACCATTACTTAAACCCGATAAAACATATTCACAACTTTGATTTTATAGCTGCATATCTTGAAAGGAAAACGTTTTTAAAATTGGTAAAAGGGGACCCATAATCATATTCATGTTCATGACATTTAATAATTTTTTTGGTTTTGGATTTCATATCATCAATTAAAAGATGTCAATAAATCTTCACATAGACGCATATGTCCACTTGATTATATTATTATTAACAGATGAGCAACTTAATTGATAAAAAATAAAATTGAGGCTTCCATTTTATAAAAACTAAAGAACAATTCAAACGCTCAAGACATCATTATCCATCTTTTTTTTTTTTTATCCATCATTATCCATCTTCTTATTATCAGTCGAGGGGAGAGCCGGAGTCAATTTTGTTGACTTGTACTGAAGATACTCCATTATTCGCTCCTCCGCCCCTTGATGTTTGTTTGCTAAAAAAAATAGTTTTAAAAATGATTTTTGTATTTATTTATTATTATAAAATTTAATTAATTAAAAATATTTTTCAATCAATAAAAATTTTAACTTAATTTTTAGAAATATATATTTTTATTTTAGAATGCAAAATACTTTCTAAAAATTATAAAAAAATTAAAAAAATTATATTATTGATTATATCAAATTTGTCCTCAAACTTTTCATTGATATATATTTTATTTAAATTTTTATTTTATCAATTAAAATTTGATTTAATTTTATTTTTAATTAATTTTAATTTTTATTTTTGTGATTGTTATTTGCTTTTTTTTTATTATTTTTTAATTGAAATTTTTTATCCATCAAATTTAGTACTCATTTTTTTTATTGTTAGATTTAATCTCTATTATTTTGATTATTATTTATTTTATTTGAAATAATTTATAAAATTAGATTTTTTTCAATTTTATTCTCATTTAATTTTTTAATTTATAAGATTTGATCTTTATTATTTTAATAAACTTGAAAAAAAAGAAAAAAATAATAAACTATTTTCTAACTCATTTTCTATAACATAACAAAACACTGAAAAATATTTTTCAACTTATTTTTTATAACATTATCAAATATAAAAAATAATTTATTTTTTTAAAAAATACTTTTTAAAATAAAAAATTATTTTTCAATAAATAAATGGACCTTAATTTTTCATATCATTGGTTTTTTTTTTTGTTTGACAACCCAAAGGAATATTATGTATTTTTCTACTATTAGTCAATCATGAAATTTTTGATTTTTAAAAAAAAATATAAACTTAATATTACTGGATAACTCTATAATTATGAAGATCTTCGAAACTTATTCGAGATATTTTGATCTGTAATTCATCCATCTTTGGTGTGGGATGGAGAATAATAAAATGGATTAAAAGAACATATTTTTTTAACAACATGTATAGCCAACCATCCCAACATGACGACTGTATATCTTTAAATAGTCAATATATTCGATCTCCTGTTCACACCGTGCAAAAGGAAACACCAACAATCGACATATTTTCCACACGATCGTTTTGGTGTTTTATATATATATATATATATATATATATGATGAAAAAGAAAACACTAACAATAGAAAGGCACGGGGGAAGTGCAAATAATGTGGCTGTGAGTGAGATACACGGTGAAAAGGGGTAGCGTGGAGTTCGTAGCTTTTGTTGAATTAAACAACAAAGTCAAAGGGATTCAACTGGAATCACGTGAGATTCGTACAGGCTGGTTGTGGGACCTTCCTACGTGGAAGCCATCTCTTGAAAAAAAAAAAACCACTATAATTTAACCCTTGCTGTAACAGTAGCTCTTTTTGAGCGGTTCTCTTGATGTTACGGATTCGTACTCAGAGCGTGTTTGCTTGTGGTTGTGTTTAAAAAATATTTATAATTCTTTTTTAATTTTAGATTTTTCAGTATATTAATATTAAAAATAAATTTTAAAGAATAATAAAATTTTATTTTAATATATTTTTAAATAAAAAAATAGCCGTCGTGATTACAATCCCCATTTTATGAGCTGTAAATGAAGCCAACTAGTCAAAAAGGTTTCGGCCCCACTTTCCGTTTTAAAACGTTTGTATTGTGTTAAACAGCTCTGTCCTTCCTGTCATGTTCTAAACGCTCGCCTCTCTCTCTCTCTCTCTCTCTCTTAAATAATGCTTGAAAAGGAGAGGCATTGTGACTGTGAAAATCTGTCGTGTACGAGGCTGGTTTTCTTAATTTTCCTTTTCTACACCGATAAAATATTGCCTCGTCTCGCCCGAATCCCAAAACTGCCCCTCTACCTTCACCCTGAACTTATTTCGATAGGTGGTTCTTACGTTTGAGAGTGTGTCCTGGGTATTGTTATTGAAAAGCTTTGGCTTGGTGCGTGCTTACTCCATTCACTCAAGAGTCAAGATTACTAAATATTGTGGCATGCACTTCAAGTATGAGTTTAAAAACCACTTGATTATTTTACTTTAGATATCCTTTTTAATTTTTATTTTATATATATTAGTGTGTTATTCTTTTTCTAATATGCCCATTTTGCAACTATATATGCTACTACAACACTGTTTGGAGTATTTTATGAAAATTTAATTTTTTTATATTTGAAAATGATTTTGATGTGTTGATATTAAAAATAATTTTTAAAAATAAAAAAATTATTTAAATATATTTCTTACACAGAAAAACCACTCTAAAAAACAATACTTCCGAACACAATCTCCTACAAAAATTATAATCATGCGCTTTTAGTCCTTATTTTCTTGGTTGACACCTGACAAATCCTTTGGAAGCCCAAAATGGTCAAATGACAGCGGGCAGACTACCCAGAATCGGACCTGCAACAAAAATGGGTACAAGAACGGAATTCTCGAAAACAAAATAACAAGGTAAAGCGCGCGCGACCGGGGGAACGCACTCGTTCCCGTCTAGACTCCCCCCATCAGCTTTACAAAGGCCAGTTTCCTGGAAGAACCCCCTCTACCTATTTCTATTAAAAAAGGCAGCTAGCCCATTGGGCACCGGATCAAGTTCATTCATCTCTCTGTCTCTGTCTCTCTCTCTCTCTCTCCCCGTTCCACTTTCTTTCCCACTCCATATATAAATGTCCTTATCCAACTCTCAAAACCAAGCCCTTAACCCAAACTCTCTCCATTTCTTTGAAGCTCACTCTCTGTGATTCTAATTAATATGGAAACAATGAACATGTGCTCTACTTCTTCTTCAGATTCTTCCGCTTCGATGTCTTCTTTCAATGGCAATAAAACACCAAGAAGTACCGATAAATCTGCCAGAATTAAAGGTCCATGGAGCGCAGAGGAAGACAGGATTTTGACTGGGCTTGTTGAGCGACATGGACCAAGAAACTGGTCCTTGATAAGCCGTTACATAAAGGGTAGGTCTGGGAAATCATGCAGGCTCAGGTGGTGCAACCAGCTAAGCCCCAATGTGGAGCACCGTCCATTCTCACCAGCTGAAGATGAAGCAATCCTGGTTGCTCATGCCAGATATGGTAACCGATGGGCCACCATTGCCAGGTTGCTTCCAGGTCGTACTGATAATGCGGTCAAGAACCACTGGAATTCCACGTTGAAGAGAAGGGCAAGACAACGCCAAAGTCAAATGAATTTGGAAGGCAACTCTGATAGTAATTATGGCAACAATAACGAATGCATTGATATTAATATGACATCAGGATCTATGGCAGATGGCATGGAGAGAGAGGAGGAGGATGCGTTGACCGCGTTGACTCTTGCCCCGCCGGGGATTGGCGGTGCAGTTTGTGGTGGCAATGGTGGAATGGTGGTGGAGAGTTTTCCGGCAGGATTTTGGGATGTGATGAGGGATGTTATTGCAAGGGAAGTAAGGGAGTGTGTGAGTTCTACACAATATATGTGAGAGTCCTTCAGGGTGGTTTCATTTATTAGGAGTAAATGAATCAGAGAAGAGGTGAAACAAATCTTGGCAGAGGGATTTGGTTAATTTGCTCAACCATTAAGATTTTATCACCATGGGTTTTTTCATGTAAAACTCTTAGATTAGATTACCTTCGTCGATCTTTTGTCTAAAAAATCTTGGAATAAAATTTATGAGAATGAATCTTGGAATTAACTGCGAAAGAGAGATTTTAAAAGAACCTTCCTCAAATGCACATGGCAGCGTGTGTCTCCTGCCGATCGAGCTACTTTTCCCATCGTATACAGAGAGAAGTAGAGGCAGAATTATGAGAATATTAAGACAAGAATGAGAGTATTCGATCAAGAAAATTAAAATTTTGAGAATCTTTATCATCTCAACATAAGGATCTGAGGAGTTGGTACGGCAGAGGGATTTGGATTTCAGGGTACTTTTTTTCAAATAAAGAATTAGAGGAGCTTGAATGCTAAAAACTTGGTGATCTTTTGAGCAGCACACTGACCCACTCCGTTCTCCGGTCATTATCGATGATTTTTTTCAGGTTGCTGGTTTCGTCAAGTTTTTTTGTTTTTTTAAATGATATCATAGTCTCATTATTGAATTTTTTTATATGTATCCAAGATTTCATTATTTTGTTTTAATTCTCTCTTTTTCCCCCGCTCTTGTCCTTGAAATTTATCTGCTCATCTTAATTATTTGTATAAAATATAGCACTTCCTAACTATGATTTTTTTTTTTAAAAAAAAATCATAGTTCCCAAAAAATCGCAATTTCCAGCTGCAATTGTCATCAATCTCCGACGTTATTCGGTTTTGCTGATATTAAACGTTAATGCTTTCTTGCTGGCAGACACACACACACACACACAATTGCACATTCAGCCTAGTCTATCACGAGAAATTCAAAATTGGAGAACAAATACATTAAAATTATACTATGTGCTCAGTGCAAGATCATTTCATCACCCTTGATTATCACTGAAAGAGAATTAATTCTTCCTGAAAAACTTGATAATTAAGGTGGATTTGGCTTACATATGCCGAGTTAGTAGTGTTCATGAACCTTGACAAACAGCTGGCCAGATATCTATCATCATTAATAGTCGCCACCATCTTGTTTACTATCGCAAGACATCAAGAAGCTCTGCTAAACCAAGTATCAAATTTATCGATTGTGGCATGCTCGTTTATTCTTTTATCTGATTAAGAAATATAATTAGCGCTCCAAATTGAAAGAAAATTACTCTCAAGGCTCAAGATCAAAGAGAATACGAGTAATCTTAGACATGGCATGACGAAAACGGGAGCATTTCTTTCATCCAAGTGTGACATATTCACAGGGTTGCTGTCCCACTTTATAGCAGCAACACTTTTGGATTTTTATATTTGATCAGGGCTGCAAAGGCATGCATGTTCTAAATGTGCAAAATACTAAACGACACTCCATAATAGATGCATGGTCCTTGGTCACATTACATCCCCTTCGTCAGACCACTCGATTGGTCTTTCTCACGGAGCCCAGCCCTGGCCCTCTTACTTGGAGTGTGCATTATTAACTTGTAACTATGCATTGAATATGTACGTACTGGGGTCAAAAGAATGTTTCAGGACTACCAGAAAATACCAAAACACCGACAAAATATTTCTTCAGTTTTTAAAGCCTGATTTTGTTAGAAATACAATTATAGATGATATAGCAGACAAAAAAAAAATTGATAGAAAATATATAGCAGGTGATTTTCATTTTGTTAGTAATATAATCATAAATATATTTATAAAAAAAATTATCAAGTCAGACAAAAAGATCTACAATAAATTCTCTTGGTGATTATAGTATATTACTAATAGAATAAACTGATGATAAAATTATTGGTGATTATATGTATATTACCAACAAAATTAACCCATCAAAGAAATATTTGTTTGGTATTAAATCTAATTATTTTAAAAAATAAAACAAAAAATAATAATACAATTACAGAGAATGAAACATAATTAAATTAAAATAAAAGGCAAATTTATAGTATTAATTTAAAAAAATATTATTCAATACAATTTATCTATATAAGTAACAGAAGTTAGAAGAGGAGAAAGAGGTAGATCTTCATTGGAATCAGAAGGCAACGAGGTGGAGCACAAGTACCAGTTAGAGCTGCCAATAGCTACTGGATAACATTCAATTTATCCATCAATTGGGTTGTCTTGCTCTAAGTTGAGATGTCTTCATACTAAGTTGGGTCGTCTCAGCTTGAACATATTCTTGTATGATCGCTTAGACGATCAATGATTGTTAGCTTAATCTGGACTGCGAGGCCCCAACAATCGAGACACTACAGCCTGCTTGCATATCCTCGATCATAGTTTTGGAGTAATTATAAACCCAATTTATATCAAATTCCACATGTAGATTCAACCTCTACCACAATTCTAGATTAAGTTTTGAATAGGTCGTGGAATCATATTTGTATCTCTTATACAATTAGGTGTTATATATTTCTTGTAAAAAAATCAGCAAATATAAAAAAGAATAATAAAATAGAAAAATGTTTGAATCCAACTTACCATGAACTGTTACATGGTAGTTTACAAAAAGAAGCTATTGCTAGTTAAATATTTTCATATAATATAACAATTTTAAAAAATTATCATATAAAACAAAATTTTACCATCCGTTTTGCATATGAAACAAATAAAATGGATTCACTAGTATATAGTTATGGAACCATGAATCTCCTCAGTCTAGTTCTTTGAAGCAGACTGTTACAACCTCAAGAAATGTTTCGACATCACGTTCTAGAGATAAACATTCCAAATAACCTCCAAGATATGTAGAGGTTTGAAATCACTAGCCAATTCCCTTTTCACATACCCTACAACTGATAATATACAACTCATAACGAATATCAAAATAATCTAAGATGTGTTGAGACAAGTCAAATTATTATATTACTCAATCAAGAAAATACATCTCAACTACATCAAAGCAATGCATTGAGACTTGTGCTAACCATAACTCAAATTCCTCATGGCATTTCAACAAAAATAAAATTATCAAATCCTTAGTATATGGCATTCACATAATCTATTAGAACATATAAAAGATTATATTAGAAAATAAGTTAAAACTAAGAAATTGACTCTTAAAAAACAAAAAAAAAAAATAAAAATTCTGTAACCCATACATGGTGAAGTTGTTTGGCATCTAACTTGTCCTGATAAAACTTATAGACATGAGTGAGATTTAATGTGAAATGTCTAGCTCTACATAGTCTGATATGACAAATCATAAAATTAATATAATTTTTACATTTAATTTATATATAAATAGCATGTTATTTAAAACTTATTAAATTTTATTACTACCTAAATCTTACAGAGATCAGCCTTTAGGTTACAGGGTCAAATATATTATTATCCCAACTCTATGAACATTTAATAAGTAAATGCTCTCATGACTAGAGTTATATTAATTTAAATTGACAGTTTTAACTTATTATTTAAAATAGAATTACTTCTAACAATCAAAGTATTCCCTATATCAAAATATTTAAAATAATCATATCTGGAGAAATGATAAACACCCTATTATTTTTTTCTTTTCTTTAAACATATTTTACATAGCTTTTAGTAGAAATATACAACCATAACCCCCTTGATTGTAATTAAGAATGTCTCAAATACATAGATGCTAGTAGAGAAATGCAAATACGACCCATTTAATTATAGATAATAGTGGCTCAAAGCTACCAATAGAGAAATCCAAGTATGACTCCCACCAACTATAGTTAGAAATAGTTTAAAAGTCCTCAAGTAGCATTTGAAAAAACACTAACACTATGTTGCTTATAGTACTTATGAAAATATAGCATCCAAACATCCAAACATATATATTATGTATACTCAAGCATACATAAATAATTGATCATCTATTGAATCTGCTATGAGGGTCTTAAAATTAGCATCCAACCACATCTATTTGATACAGTCACCTTTATAAGCATTGGCTGAAGACATCTATCCAAGTAAACAACATATAAATTATCTCTATCAATTGATCCCTGTGTCCTATCACTAAAGCTTCATCTATCAAGAGTCTTACTAACATAGTAACGCGATATAATGTGGATGTCATCTCACCAACATGTAGGTAGAACTTATGAGTATTGCACCTATATATATACCATATAACTTATTGGTCTTATAAAAACCAACATTTATATATATATAAAAGTAGGCAAACACATTCATGTAACTCCATTATTACACACTAACAAAGTGTCATAAAATCACTTTCCTGAAAATCAAGCAATTTATACAAAATTATTTAAACATTTACATAGTTTAAAATTTAAATTTTTTATTCAACTCAAATATAGTGAATTAACCTTTTCGTTCTAAATATCATTAGAATGATGTTGGTCCTATATGTATAAAATTAATAAGTCATCTAGCACTAAATCCACAACCAAGTGGTTCTATCTATTCGCACCGTTACAAGCAAATGAACCTTCTCAAGTATGAACCATGTTTATTGTCAACCCCTTTTCTTAACAAAATCATTGGTTTTCTCGGGCTTAAACCCTATTTTTCGAGCCATTTTTTCTCTAAAAAAATAAATAACACCCTTATAATATATATATATATATATATAATTTATCAAGCTAAAAAACTCAAAAAATGAACAAAGAATACAAAATCAATCCGAGTAAGAATTTTCTTTCTCAGCTTCAATATGTTATTTGAGGCAATATTAATGTTTAAAAGAATCACCATCAAAACTTTTATTATCAAATGAAACTCATTAACACCAAAATAGATCTTTTTTATGCTCTAAATCGATGAAAACCAATGACCTTATCTCTTTTCTCTGACATTTGATGACTTCTTCTATGCTCTCTCAAACTTAAGGACTAAAAAATAAATAATTTTTTGGATCAAAATTGAGTTTTTGAAAATTATAGGGACTATGATTATTGAAGAGAGAAAGTAGAAGGATACAAATGAATTTTTGAATCAAAATTTAGATTGGTGATGGAATTTATCAGTAGTTTATACTTTGGTCACGTATGTTTTAATTTGTTCTAAACTACCTCTATTTAGACATAGAAGAGCACAATAAAAAAAATTAAGGAGAAAATTTACTCCAATTAATATCTATGACGTTTCACTATATGTAAGCGCGTGTATATCACAAATGCCCAATCTAGAATTCATTTACAAAGAAACCCGATCTTATTAGAAATTCTTTCTCGTACAAAAATGAAAACATGAATAAGGTATCAAAATAATAATAATTTGTAATATTAAGTTACTTTTTCTCAAATGCCATTTATGTGTGCTAATAGAAAGGCCTTAAAAGGGAGCTGACCCCATTGGAGAATAGAGTTGGGCAATACAACCCAAGAAACTTGTATCTTGGTAAGAATGTGTTTAATACTACGGTAGCGATAGCCGTTGTAGTTAAGGTTTGAAAAAAGTTATTTTATAAAAAAATATTTTTAATTGAGGTTAATTAAAAAAAAACATATTTGGTTAAAACTGTGGTTGAAATTGAGGTTGAACAAAAAATTGTTTAATGTGTTATGTTAAAAATGCTTTTGAAATTGAGTTTATAAAATAATATATATATATATATATATATTGATAGTTTGTAATTTAAATATTATAGATTTAACTATTGTTATTACATCATAAAATAAATAATACTTTATATAAAATATTTTTTATTGTTTCATTAAACTATTTACAATTTCATCACATATAAAATACATTCAATAAAGACTATAATTTTCACAAATTTCTTAAGAGCGCAACAATATTAGGTAAAATATAATCAAGAATAAAATTGATATTGCAATCAAATTTTGTAAATGCTATGTCATCAAGCTATCTATATCTAATTTATATAGTGTCATTAAATAATTTTTAACACTAATTTTTTAAATAAAACACAATTAAAAATAAAAAATATTTTTTTATTTTACTGGATCGAATCATGTTCAATTCATTTTTTAGCTTTGAACCGGACCCAATCTGACCATAATAGTAAAGAATATCTCTATTGTTCATTGAACAGTGTAGCTATGCTCCACTAATCACGTGACGAGTGGAGCATGACTACACTTTTTATAGTATTTATCCGCATAAGAGATAGTAAACAACTGCTTCTTGTGATTTTTGTAAACCTATAGCACAATCACAGTTTATAATGGGTCCTATTAATAAAAAATTATATTTTTTATAATAACAAATAATAATATTTATGATTTTGGGTGAACTTTACCTGCAACTATAATATCACCTGCAACTATAATATCATACGTCAAAACATAACCTAGCTATTTAAATCTGTGATGTATGATCAAATTGAAAATATCAGATTTGATGGAACTAATAAATTAATTCTTAATTTGATATACCAAATCGAGATCCAATTTGATTTCAAAAAATTTCAATACTTCGAATTGATATATACTCATCCAAAAGTAATTTAGATTTTATTCCATCCTGATTTGATTGCACCTCGTTCGCCACCACCAGTGCGATTACAAGTTAAATTATTAACAGAACGCTTTCCTTTTCAGCATGTGTACGAGACTGGCCATTCTAGGATACGTCTGGGAACCCTCCATATGCTAGATCGATTCTAAACCCTATCTGCATTTTGATCGAAGGCCATGATGCCAAACACAACCTTATCAACCCAGGCACCATATTCTCTCTGTGTATCCGTTTGTCACATAGACAAGACACAATTTGACTCAAAACTGACGAATCCCAACTGTATCATCCACCACATAGAAACCTGCAATCTTTACGTGTAGGTGAGTTATGCATTAAGTTTCACCAGTTTTTGCACGGTGTGTCCAAAACAGACACCGCTGGCTTAAGTTATCCACAGAAAATCAAATTAGAAATTACATCGCATATGGGTACCAGCACAGTAAATTTCACTTTGTGTTATGAGGATCCATTCCATGGTCGGATTGAAAGTCCATTGTTATAAAACTTGCCAAAACATAAAGAAGGAAGATTTTTTCAAGATTTAAAAAAAAGAGTAATGATGCCATTTTTTTTTTAAAAAATCAAAACTATGTTTTTTATTTGGTTGACCTATCAAGATCACCAGATTTGACCTATTCAACTCCCAACCTGATTTAATGAGATATGAATCGGGTTTATTAATTGTGATCACAAGTACACAGAATCATATAAACCAAGAACTAGTTAAAATATACTAAAAAATAATTACATGTTGATGTAATTTATAAATAAATAAAGAAAATATGTTTATCCCATATTAAAAAAAACACTCCCTCCTAATGTTTATAAGTGTGAGTTTCTTTTGTGTAATAAATTAAACCATGATAAACAAACTCTCCTATTTAGTTTTCTAATATTATTATATGGATATTTAAAATATCAAAAAATAACATTTGAAACTTTAAAACTTTGAATTTAATATGAATAGTTATACTATTTCATAAATTGCCATACTTTTTTATAAACAATCATATTATTTCATCATTATATTTCAAGTCTATAAAAACATGTCACCACACAGAAAAAAAAACAAAACAAAACAAAATACATACATTCTTTTCTTTGTTTTTTCTTCTCATTCTTGAAGGGGTTTAAAAGGCTCAGTTATATCTCTGTGTGGGACAAATAAACACCTTAAAAATAGTATTTTTATGCCTTTAAGTCAATTCCATATTTGTTTTCATCCTAAACTTTCCTAACATTACCCAGGTTGAATCTACTTATAATTACAATTTTTGCATTTCACAACTTCTGTAACAAGAAACAAGTAGCTTGAGATGCCAGAAAAGCAAGCATGGGCTAACTTCAAAATATTGTTGGGGTTCATGACCCCCTCATCAGGCAAACCAAGAAAAGATACATGCTTTGAAAAGAGTACATGATACAATACAGCAACTATATGCTCAGAAGTCTTATGTGAGGTTTCTTAAAATGTCTTTCGTATATACAAACTCCTAGGTCGATCATTATGTTGTATCTGGCATTTGTGAACAGAATCTTAAACCCTAACCTCATGTTTCGAATGTGGAAGAAGAGATTCTATGCTTGGGTACAGAATGATAAGCTTGGGTCACTAAATCATAGAACTACAATAATAGCAGTCAATCCCAGAATGCCACTGTAGGTACACAAACACATGGAAAAAAGGTCCCTGGACTCGCAGGATTATGCTGCCTGGCCCCTACAACACAACTAAGGAGCAGAACTAGCAAGGAAGTCGCTTCACATCCAGCAAAAATTAGTGGTACAAGAAACAAACGTTTACCTTCTTAGCTGTTCTTGAACCATGTTCCAGGCCTCGGTACGAGTATCCGTGTAACAAACTTCCCTAGCCCATACATTCTGCATGGGATGCGGGGCCATCTCCATTTGCATAAGGTGCTCCTTTTCCAACTGATTAACAGCATTCAACTCCATCGCACTGGCTGTAACATTCTGTCAATAGCAAAAAGATGTGATACAGTTTTAGGGGAGCTCAAACCAAAAAATTTTAGAATCTTGCTCATATGACAATGTGAAGCCATCTTGTTTTTCTATATCCTATGAAACTATTGGAAAACTCCATACTTCAGGTTACTTTTGCCATATCCCATGGAAATATTGGAGAACTCAATATTTCAGGTTACTGGACAGCCATTAGATTGACATAGAACTAAAGCAAAATTATTTAGTTCCAGATGATTCACTGTCCTGAACTCGAGATACAAAATATTTCTTGTACTTTGGTGGTTTAATTTCTCCATGAATTCGATTCAGATATGCTATAAACTTACCCAAAATGTTCCAAAGCAAGCATGGAAGATTATGAATTTCAGGAGGTTGTCATCTGAGCTGCTGAGGTCATCATCTGAACTGACAGAAACATTAAGATCTTGATATGAAGAATCTACCATTGACCCATGGTTTTTCACGACAATCCTGTGATGCTTCTTTAACATCTTTTCAAGATGATACATAGTGGTTTTCCAGGAACTCTTAGTAATCCCTACCCACTTTAAAGTGCAGCCACTGCTTTCAAAAGCTCTCATCGGAAGTTCTTCATGCAGCCTTAAAAAAGTTGCTGCTCTTTCAGCATTAGCCCAGCAATAACATGATGATGATCCATCATCTATCCGCGCAAAGAGAGGATAATATGATTGCATAGGAATTAGAAAGAAAAGTGTCCAATGAAAAGACAAGACAGCTTGTAAATGATATCTTTTTGTATTCCATTGTGCATCTTTCACAAGTGCCTCAATATACACGCAGGGGCCTGTCTAATTCATGAAAAATTAAAGCCAGACTACAATTAATTTAATAAACCATTTACCCGTTACATAGTTTTACAATTAACAATAGCTTTAATTCAGTAATGCAAAAGGTGCTGCATAACGAGGCACATTGTGGATCCATTTAGTATGTGCTCTATTTTCTTGTATCACAATAAAGAACTCCCAATTGAGATTTGATTAAAGCTGTTTACAACGCTGCAAACACAAATAAAATATTTTGACTTTTCAAGGTAGAGTGATGGCACAAGTTGTCCGTGCATATAGTGAGAGAGAAAAGTGATTAATACCATATAGTCATGATACAAATGCTTTATAAAGATGAGAAATAACTTACCCAACACAAAAGAAGCAAGTGGAATGTCAAGAAAATGGTGCGTGGAGTGAACTTTTGATGCCAAATATTTTCTGTTCTCCAGAACCAAGACACGAACAGCAACAACCTATCATAAACATGAGCAAATAAATCATGGTTACAAGTATTTCACACAATTAATGTTCACTTCTTCCTATCTGGCAATAACAAATTACATAGGAAGGATGCAATTGAGAGAAGAACAGATAAATTCATGAATTTAACAAAAATTACCCTGCAAAAGAACTTCACAGGCTTGCTCTCTGTGCATTGATTCAATTCTGAAATCATAACAAACGAAACTTTGTCCAAAGAGGCAGCTGATGATCTGTATAGCCACAAATCAGAAGAATTTTCCTGGGACGCTTCATTTGCAACCCTTATGGAATTGATCACTATAAATGAAGCAGGAGTCAGCATCAATCTATTTGTTCCCCTGAAAAAACAAGAAACAACAATTGATAGTATGCTAACTTCTTACTAAACCATAAAGGACTGGTTTAGGAGCAGGTTTCACAAAGCAGCAACATGAAGGGGGGACACAGTTCATAAATAACATGATTAAAGGGAAGAGCAAAGGACACTGAAGGATAGATCAGCCACTATGCAAACAACAGATCATACAAGTCAAGTATCACAATAGCACAACTTTAAACCTAATGAAGTGAGTATGAACACAAATTGGTGTATGCATTATCATTGTTACTCATGCAAGATCTGAAATTAATAACAATATACACATAGCCAAGAACTCTAATAAATACAGCTTTCAACAAAACTCCCTGACTGTAGATTGTAAAAATAGATCCAAGGAACGCTATATTGCTCCATACCACACTGTACTGTAAAAAATGAGCCAATAATGTCATTTTGGACACTGAGCAAGCAATTATTCCCGGCCCCCAAAACTAGGGTCCACTTTGCAATTATACCTCTCTTTTCAAACCAGTAACTGCAAATGCTACTCTTTTACAGTTTTACACAATGCAGTGAACTTTCCCCTTGCCATCAAATTTAGATGCAATATCCAGTACTTTTCTGCACTTATCTCTTATCACAGCACTTAAAATCTTAATCTAGTTGGTTTTTGACACAAAAGGATATGGAATGAAAATAGATACTCAAAAGGACTTTGAAGAAAATACCTTCTTACAACTACCCCTAAAGCAAAATTGTATAACCTCTTTCGATACCTGAAAGGTCCTTTTCTTTTTCTTTTTTTTTTGTAAAGCTATTATAACATCCTCTGATATACAAAGTTCAAGAAGCACTAATTCAATGTTGAGAGCTGTTGAGATCCATATTCCAAAAATTAAAAAAGAAATGTTACAATAGTATTGCAATACCATCTGTATGAGGTACTATAATATAGACCAATATAATTCAAGCATTACAGCTCATGACTTTTTTGGATTCCATACCTCAATTTAAGAACTCGATGAAATGTGGCATTTACACCAGCTCCAAATCCAACAGCATATGCATGTTTGCTCAAAGAACCAAAAATTCTCACCTATTAAATGAATCCATCATTAATAAAAAAATCTCTAATAGAAAAAAAATATAACACAGCAAGATGAAGCAGTTATAAATAAATAAAAATTAAAAGTGGAGAATTAAATCAGAATACACAACTTCCAGGTTACGGAGACAGTCTGAAAGGAAATTACCATTTGCTTGTCTACTAAAACATGAACACAACAACTGCTTGGAATCCCCTGAAAGCATCCCATATTAGGAATGACACTCACGGTTTCACAGCTTGAATGAGCATTGGCCAAATTGGAGTTTAAAAAATGAAAGGCGACAACATTGCCAAGCACAGTTATTAAATTTCCTTCAGGAAAAACACAACAGGAATTGGAAGATGCGAAGGGTGTACTAGATACAGACATTTTGGTCATAAAGTGAGGAGATCCATTAAAAGCCTCTTCTGGCATCACAACTGGCATGAAGCCTTCTTTCATTTTGTTAAGCTTCAGTACCAAAAGATGCATTATATCGGCAGAGAGATGAAGCTGGACATCTGAGCATTCTGGAGAATTTCCAGTAGACCTCCTGAGAAGTAGCTCAACTTCATTTTTCATCAGAACCTCTTCTTTGCTTAGAGAAGAATCACCAGGAGCATCATCTAATGATTTATCATTTGTAACATCATCAGAAAAGAATGAAAGGCTCCACAGACATATTCTGGAAGAGACACAAATTTTACCACAACCAGTATTGTTGTAGTTCTTAAGACAGCAAAAAGATTCTTCTTTACAGTGCTTTATTACATAGTAACCCCCAATCTGTAGCATCTGCAATTTAGATGAAAGTCAATGTAAGTTGTCCTACATGGTAAGTAAAATAGCAAAACTATTTTATCATCCCTGAACTGGATGAATACCGAAACACTGAAAATTGAGGGAAATGAAGAAAACAGAGGGGATCTGACACACCTGATACCTGAAAAAACTGTCAGAACTGAACTCCAGCAATATCTTCCTGCCACTTGGTTTATAATCAGCAACATTCTTTACCTTGCAATCTGTGCAGCACAACTTCCCTGAACTAACCAAGTTGTGACTGTTGGCATTTCTAGCAATGGCCAAGCATGGAATTTCAGGACAACTTGGTTCTCCACATTTCCACTTAGTTGATTCCCTAAGAGACCCAGAGCAAGAGCTCAGCTCACTGCCAACATAGCTCTGATCATCAACCAAAACTGAAACGAAAGCCTGGCTGGGCATGCAATCCATCTTACACTTCTTATTGGGTAAATATTCTTCGTTGTTTTCACCAATGTAATGTCTCACGGCTTTGTTCAGCCAAATCCTTGAAATCTCACCAGAATGTGCAATTGGATCCATGCCTGCAATAGACAGGTCCCAAGGCAGGACAACAGCCTCAACAAACACATTGGCCCTGTTTGGTATCACTGGATCACCTTGTAACTGTGGACATGAAAGTACAAAGATCAGAATTCTGTAACTGAACAAAGCAACATAGTTATTAAACAAGCAAACAGAAACTCTTTTTTCCTCTTTACTTTCTTAACTTCTTGGACTCATGCAGTGGCTGAAGGGAAAATTACTTGGAGCACGTTTTATAAGCCTTGATAAAATTCTATTTGGCGTATGCAAGCGTACCTGATGTAGCAAAGGATATTTGTGTGAGA